CAGAAGTCTGAAACCCCGGAGTGGATCCGGTTTTTCGGGATCCCGGGCCCTCCTTCCCGGGCCCCCGCCCAGCCTTGCGCAACAAGGTTGGGCTTCGGGGAAGAGGGCCCCAAAGAACTTGCGGGCGGACCCGAGAAAGTAAGCCCCGACCGAGAAGTAGCCCCAGTCTGCAGAGAGCGGCCCGGGGCAGGGGTGCCCGGGGCAGATTCCACTGCAGTCCTCTTCCTCCATCATACCCCATTCCCGCCTCCCAGCCGCGCTCCGAGGCCGCCAGCGCGCCGCGGTATGCCACCAGCCCGCGGCTTGGATAGGGGACTGCGGGAGAGCGCCCGGATTCCCGGCCAGCCCGCAGAGGTGCCCTGGCTGGCCAGAGTCGGAGCCACCCGCAGTCCCAAGCACGTAGGCTGGTGGACCTCAGCGTTCCCCAAGGTTTCCCTAAGCCACGGCGCCGTTCGCCTAAGGAAAACAACAGCAGGGCGCAGCATAGCTGACTGGGCGCGCGGTGTTTGCGCCCTGAGCGCGCACAGCGCTGGAGATGTGGGCGTAAAGAAACCAGGTGGGCTTTGGGAGCTAGAGAGACCTGGGGTACGGCTTAGGCGCTTCCGCCTTCTAGCTCTTTGACCTTGGGCAAGTCACGTTGTCTCCTGAAGCCTTCCATTAATGACCGCTGCTGGAGGCTCCTGTCCCCCACCCCTTCCCTATTCGGGTTAAAATAAACAGAGGGTTGCCTTGAAAGAAAAAAGAAACGCGCACCATGTGCATGGGGCGAGTGGTCAGAAAAAGAGGCCCTACGCTGGGTCGGGAGGGGGTTGAGAAAGGAGAGGGCAGAGTCGCAAACTAAAACGCCTACAGCGGCCGGAAGATAATACATATTGGTACTGCACGCTGGGCGGTATAAGAATGGTCTTGGCTTCCACAAAGAGATATGAGGTCTACTATATTTCTTGAAACACGAGGCCCTCTCTCGGTCTGTCTTTTGTTTCCCAGTATTGATAGAAAAGAGTTATGAGAAATGTTTTTGCTTTTCTCTTAACTCTATATAAAAACCACCAGCCAGTGTCCAGATACACATTTGCAGGCACTCGGCTTCAGTGCCAGGGAGGAACACCAGCACTGGGAACTGGGCACAGGATCCCAGCTAAATTTAGAGACAGCTGGCTCTTCTGCTCCAGGTGCCGTTTGTGGGGTGTGTGTGTGTGTGTGTGTGTGTGTGGAATATGGCTCAGTACTGGCCACATCTTCCAATTTTCCCATAGACTTCAATAGGAGCCACTGCATGTGAAATCTTCTGACCTAAAATCTTTAACTAAAAAATAAAAATATTTAAACTTCATGTGAGCCCAGATGAAAATGTCCATAAATATGCACCAGCCTCTGGTTTTTGCACTCTGCTTTGGGGGTTGCTTGTTTGTACTCCATGTCAGGAGGGCTTGATCTAGCCCACTGGTGTGTGTGTGTGTGTGTGTGTGTGTGTGTGTGTGGTGGGGGGAGCAGTGTTTGCCTGGGCCCCACCATGCTCCCAGGGAAGAGGTGGGTAGGAGAGGTGAAACAGTAGCAGAACCTGCATTTGGGCTCCTAGGAGGGGAAATGATTAGTAACCAGGGTTTGAGCACTGGTAGGGGGTGGTTGAGGATGAAGGACTGAGATTGGGGGCTGGAATATGAGATGATATCATAATGGTGTGTGCTGGACTCCGCTATGTTCTTTCCTGCATTTATAATTTGGTTTGTTCCTTACATACAATCCTGATAAATAAACATTCTATTCCCATTATACAGATGAGGTAACTTGGGCTTGAGGGGAGGAAAGTGCCTTATGCCTAAGGCCGACCTTATTCCATGACTGCAGGGCTAGCTGAGGTTGGTCCCTGGGAGGCTTGATCTCAATGTCCACCCTCCTTACATTTCCTCCTGCAATTTCTGCTCTGGGATTAAAATTTGGGAGTAAGGTATTGGGTACAGGAGAGCAAAGGTTCTCCTTTTCTGTCCAGTTTGGTTGATCTGTTCACTTCTCTGTTTCTCTCTTTCGCTGTGTAGCAGTTATGTTGTGGTAACAAACAGTCCTCAAATATCAGTGGCTTAAATCAACAAAGGTTTATTTCTCACTTGTCCATTATGGGGCTGCTGCTCCAGATCATCCTCACTCACCGGCCCAGGCTGACGAAGCAGCCACTCTCTGGAACCTTGTTGGTCAGTGAAGAACAGGAAAAGGGAGCTCTGAAAGTACACCCACCAGCAATCAATGGCTCAGCCCAGAAATGACACATGTCACTTCCAATCACAATCCATTGGCCAGAACTGCCCCCCCTGGCCTGACCCCAAAAAGGCCAGAAAGTGCAATCCTGCCATGTGCCTGGAAGGCAGCACCTGAAATGCATGGAGAGTGGTGCTCATGATGACCACAGGCTTCAAGCCCAGCACGACCTGTGCCCTGCCAGCCTCTGCCCTGGCCTGTGGCCTTCCTTGTGTTCCTCCAGCAACCAAGCTCATCTCCACCTTTGTACCTCCCGTTTGCTTTACTTCCTGGAGCACTCTGTCCCCAGATTGTCACATGTTGGTCCCTTTTAGTCGTGCAGATCTCAGCTCAGCTGTCCCCTCCCAAGTGGTACTCAGGGAGTGTCAGGAAAGGGGGCAGGATGTCCTTGCAGAGATGGGGAGTACACATCTCACTTGAATTCTGCTTAAGAATCAGGAGGGCTGTCAGGAAGGACTTGTCTCAGACCTGAGGGTAGGTGGCCAAATGGAAGGAAGGCTCCTGGCATCTCCAACCTCCTTTCCCTTGAGCCCCGACTTGAAGGGAGGGAGGGGCCAAACCCCATCTAAGTGGTACCTGCCAACAAGTGTCTGTAGCCCTCTTGCAAAATCCCAGTGACAGGGCACAGGTTTCACCTGACCCTTCTGGTGGCCGGGAGTTTCTTCTCTCTAGGGAACAAGAATCTGCTTCTCATTGGGTTCTCTTTCTGGAACCCCATCAAGCATGTCTGCTACCTCTTTTGCTTCTGTTATTTCAGACCTTTCCTTCTTTTACTTCAGAACACAAAGTCAGGGTCTATCATGAATTTTCTTCCTCTGGGCCAAATAGTTCTGCTTCTGCCACTGGCAATGCAGCTGGGTTCTGGGGCCCTGGCTTGGACACCCTGGAGCACTGAGGTGCTCTACAGCAGGGCTGCTCCTCTGAAGGCACTTCTTGGAGGGGGTTGGCACAGCTCCTGCCCACGTGGGGATGCACAAGCAGTCCCAGTTGGCCATGCCATCGCACTGTTAATGCCCACTGGACTGAGGGACCTCAGAGCCTGTGGCGAGGCATCACTGGCTTAGAGGTGTGCCAGAAGGTCTCGTGATGTTAGTTACCATGCAAATCTGCAGGCCATGCCCTATCCCAATATGATGCCTGGGAGGCGTCTAGCAATCTGTACTTTTACCAAGTCCTTCCCCTCCCCCGGCTATTTCTACCGGTGCCAGTGATCTGAAGACCGCACTTTGAGGCACACTGCCCTAGGTCTTTGCCATAGCTGCTGCCAACAACTGGGTGCTCCCCGTCTGCCGTTGAGTTGCTGGCTTTCTGAATTTAAATGCAGAGACTTCATTTCATCACGTTTCTATTCCATTGTATTACGACTAATTCCTCTTCTCCATATGGAGCTCTTTCAGAGCGTAGAGGCTGCAGGCAGGGTCCTTGTTATTTTCTTCAGCCTCCTGTCACCCTCAGTCGAGATTAGGAGTCATGCATATCTTCCACCAAGGCCTTACTAAACAGGTGGCTGAGGGCAGGACCAAGGACAGAGCCTGCCTTGCAAATTGCTCCAGGGCAGTAAGTCAGCTTCTCTTTTCATCCACTTGGGAAACCTCTACCCACACCATCGCTCAACTCACATCTCATTGCTGCACCCACAAAATAAATGGAGATACCCTGCAGGGCCCCAGACCAGGAGCTTCCAGCATTGCCCTGATCCACCAGGCCAATAACCCAGCCCAGCAGGAAGGTAGTTCATCAGGCAGGACTTGCTTTTGGCAACCCCACATTGGTTCTTGATGGCCCTTGCCCTGATCCCAGCATTCAAACCTACCCAATGCTCAGCATCCAGCTTCTGTCTTCTGGAAGCAGCATCCCCCTGTGTTCCCTCCCCACTGTCAGTGCTCGAGATTCATGTGGTGTTACCCCACCCCCCGTTCCAGAGGATGGCGCGTGCTTCAGTCCTGGCCACTCAGCATTTACATCCCTGAACCACAGGGATTCTTTCGGGGATGCACACATGACTCAAGCCAAGCCACGGAGGCCCATCTCTAGGACTTTTGTTGGAACTAAGGAGAGAAAGAATTTTTTCTCTTGCTGGACTTGGAGCAGGGAAAAGGAGGTTCTGGAGCTGCCATTATGGGAGGAGAAGAGCAGATTCTGAACCCTGGTTTATCACTCAGGATCCAGCTGCTCCTGAAGCTGTCAGATATGTCCCTGCTTTTCTAGTTACATGAGTCAGTATATTTCTTTTTTTATTGTTTAAGCCCATTGAGTTTCTTTTATTTGCACCTGAGAGAATGATACAGAGCTATCCTTTCTAGATGCCTGTTCTAGGGCCTTTCCCGGGCGAAGGCAGGCATTTATTAGTGCATATTGTTTACAAGGCTCAATGCTACCCGGTGGGGGAAGCTGCAGCCTGTGGGAGAGGACACAGGTAGCCTCCCAGTTGTAAGTTAGGGTGTAACCCCCACACATTCTTCACTTGCCTGATGACCTGGCAAGTGAAGAATGTTTGAGGACTGAGAGGGAAAAGAGAACTAGAAACAAACCCTTTCAGAGGACCTCCAGCAACATCTGGACCAGTCCCTTTTGTACACAGAACCCCAACACCCAAGCCCAATACCCTGAATCAAACACACGCTCACACACACAGCATGCCAACACCAAATCTCTGCTCCTAACATAAACGCATTTCCCACACCCAACTCACACATGTGTATGGCATACCTGCAACTGAACACAATCACTACAAATGCATAACTTCCCTGTATATATTTACATACATGTAAAAACATTTCCGCGTGCCCCTACTTCTTTCCTGCACAGACTATTCACATCCATGCCTCGGCCTCTGCCTCAGCACAGCACCTGAGATCGTGGCTTGTAGCCTTCAGGACCAAGGACAGTGCCAGGCATTTCTTGAGCCCTTACCCAGTGCCCAGCACAGGACTAAGCTCCTTACCTGATTTATCTCTTTCAATCCTCACAGCCCCTGA